GCGCAATAAAAGATAAAATTGTAACAGAAAAGTAAAAAGGTTTCGAAATATAGCCAATATAACGAAACATACTTTTTCCAGTAAGTTTTTACAGTTTATTCGAGCTTCTATAACTCTCTCAGCAGTGCCTCTTTTTCCGGTGATGTCAATAATTCTGCACTTTTTTTTCCGTATACCAGTAATTTCAACTAGTTTGTCTAAATAAAATATAAATTGAAATCGAGTATGCAATTACAAAAAGAATTATTAATCTTTACGGAACTGCGCAGTTTTCTAATTGTTTATTTATTGTTCGTAAAGGAAAATACATTTAGTTTTTGAAAAGTTTTGAAAAACATAATGTCGGAGATAGAGATAAACATATGACACAAATACAAACTGATTTTCTCCTCTGCTTTCGATTCACTGGCGTTAGAATGACTATGTTTTTTTGCAGATGGATGCGTATATGTAAGTGTGGCAGAAAATACAAATGTTTGGATCTTTTCAGATGCACTTCTGAAAATGTTGAATTGTGATGCATTTGCAATAGCTGATAATATTAAGAGGTAAAGACCAGTATATTTTGAAAATTTATTAAAAAACATTCCAAAAATCTTTTATGATAATAAACATGATTTTTTCTTCCTTCTCATCAAAAAATTGTGATATCTGAGGATATGAGAACTACGCTGATAGAATAATCTACAACTTACTTTCTAATAGTATCTAAAATTTTTCGTAACTCAATGAAATGTCCTTTTTCGACCATGCGATCTGTTTCATCAATTACTAGACACTGTAATTTTGACCAGTCAACAAGATAATTGGAAGTTTCCGCCAAAGTCATTAAGGCTGAAAATCGTCCAGGCGTTGCAATAATGATCTGAGGATTACGTTTTAATAAGCGTTCCTGTTTCTGCAGTGACAAACCACCAACTATAGATTCAACCTGTTAAATTTGGTAACTTCACAGAATTACAGCACATTATCAATGGTTTCACAAACTAGTTAGATTAGTGACGGATATTTTAAATGGAAAAAGTTTCACCGATCCACTTCAGCGATCGTTATCACTCTATAAAGGCTACACAACATATTTGTTAGAACATATTTCAAAATACTTGCTTACCTTAATAAGAGTGAACTTCAATAAATGCTGAATCTGATTCCTAATTTGCATCACCAACTCTCGAGTAGGTGCGAAAATGAGAGCTCGAATTCCTGATAAAATTGTCTCTTTTTCATTCGAAAATTTATCAGCCAAAATTTGCTCCACAATCGGTATACCAAATGCTAATGTCTTTCCACTTCCCTAAAAGTTTCCATTTTACTAATTTAAAGACAAGTCTTGTGACATGTCATATACACAGTGCTGAAACGATTTGAATAATATCTAGTAAATAAAAGAAAACGACATTCTAGATTCTTTTCAGATGAAAAAATGAACCTTACCGTTTCTGCAGCTCCTATAATATCAAGCCGATCTCTGATGGCAATTGGTATGACTAACTTCTGTATTTCAGTAGGTTCAGTAAATCTATAATATTTGATAGGGTGATTGATTAAACAATTCCACAAAAATATCATTGCAAATCCTGAAGAAAATGAACTTCAATTTCATCAAATGATCGAACAAATTTTACTAAAAGAATTACCCCATTTGGGCAATAGCTTGCAATACTACTTCTGAAATATTAAGGCTTTTCCAGCATGACACGTCGATTTCGCTTCTCAAGTCACATTCAATACCTGAAATAATATCCTAAAACATTCAAAAACTAGAATGTTCAAAAAAAAGAACATACTTTTTTCAGTATCATTTCCATCTTCTGTTACTTCTGGGTTGCAATTTATTTCAGCACCTTGTGCAATGGAAACCTTAAAAATAAAATAACTTTACATCAATTCTATTCTATCTTTTACACAAATAATTTTTTCCAGTGAAAGTAACACAAATCACGCTAACTACCAAGTTATTTATATTCAATTACAAAAATGAAAAGTTGTTATTAGAAAGAGAAATTTATAACTTCTCGTTCAGACTACAAAAATTTTAGAAGAATTCACGATAAGCTTTTATAAAACGGACACAATTCTTGCAGTAAATTTTTAAATAGAAATATTTAAATATGAAAATGACAATAGCAATGCGCAATTATAATAACAGAATACTATGTTTTTATATTCCTTGTTCTTCTTTTTCCGAATTGGCGTAGTATTCTTCTGCAAATTACAAAGCGCTACATCTGCTTTTCTTTTTATCGCTTTCTTTTTCTGTAATATAATTCGTAATAAAACGAATTAATGAGCAAATTTTCGACCACATCACCAGAGGAAATCAAATGCATCAAAATTATTTTTAAAGAATAACTCTGATGTATTTAACTTTTATACTGATATCATAAAATTAAGAAAATTCTAGCACCAAAATTATGTGAAATAAGAAATACCAAATCTTATTCTGTACCGCACACTCAATAAAAAATATTCAGAAAGATAATGCAAATCATTCTGTATCACTAAATAAATCAGAGTAAAAATCACCGATGCATGACACCTATTTTCGCAATCTTTTTCTGGCAAGCATTCTTCGAACGATGAAAGAAACGCAAGACTTTCATCTGCTGCAAAATCTCCTGGCACACTCACTGCTTTCCAGCTGTTACTAGTAGAAATAATTTTCGGCATTTCATTTATCGCTAACAACTAATATTCTATAATCTGAAATAAATTCAGACACCTTTTCTAATACTCAATATATTACAAACCTATACAAACTGCTGAGCAGCAAATATGCAAACCATATATATATGTACATGTAAATAAGCTTCTGGGTAATATTGTATGTACATGTATTCAGTTACTTATGATGATATACTTATTAATTGAACACATCAACCTGAATAATACTCACCACAAACATCTTGCCATGAATACTGAGTATTAGAAAAGGTATATCATCAAGTATAACTACTTCCTAAGAACTTCATGACCTTGCGGTACCATAATCTGACTTTAAACACTAATATTGGATACTTTCTCTCCCATTTGAAATTACTCTAAGGTGCCACTGCAAATTGGAGAGAAAGCATATTTCACAGCTTAAAGAATACTTTCAATTACTCTAAGATCAATGTCGAACTGATATCAAGTCCTGCGGTGCTTGAAATCAAATTATAAACACATCCAATGGTGAGAAAGACCCTTGTTTACCTGGCGTCACACATATCTCAGTGGTCATACTTATCAAATCTGCCAGAACCCTATTTTCGATGCCCCAAAACACAATACAGTGGTATATCAAACTCCCAATTCCCTACCCAACCTTTCTACAGCAGAGACATCAAATTAGTTATCCAGTAAAATCCACAAACTATACTACAAAGTGACCTCCCAACAAAACTTTTGGATTTGTCAAGAATAACCTTACACATCGACCAAAAGAAATAACTGGACTCGAAATTTTGATCCTTTCCTGCGTCAAACATTTAATGCAGTTTAATAATGTAAGTACAAGATACTGACATATTGGTTTCAGACTCATCAGGAACTTTTTTCACTGAACACAAAACCGTAATGTGTCGGTACTAACACTGATTATTTATTCTTCAATTTGAAGCGGATTTTATGATTGAAATATTCATTTTTATTACATTTCTAACACCAGTGTTGAGCTGACACTACAATACATATTCATAAGCTTATACCAAGTTATGAATAATATAACAAATTAAGAACGAATGCTCAAAACTAAGGCTTATTCTAAGGGATTATATATCAAGTAGAAGCAAGCCTTAGGGCGTTACAAACAGAACATATATTTAATTTATAATCGCCGTGCTTTATTTTGAAAAAAACCATTTTTCGATTATTTCTATATATCCCTCTAATATTTTACCCACAGTATCAAAACCTAAACCATTAACTCACGAAGTTACACAACGATGCGGATAATTTATGTGTGAAAATCAAGCTTTTTATCATCATCGCAATCATTTAACAATGAATGAATTCCATAACAACTTCAAATTTAACTTCTATATTTAACGTTTACGACGTAGTGATAGAGTATTGCGACGCAACCAGCACTTCCGACGTGATCCACCTTTCGTAGCTGAATAGTGATGCCCTTTCCCGAGACCGCGACTTCTGCGGCCAGCAGATGTCAACCCCCGCAATTCACGATGCTTATGAACAGGTTTAGTTATCCATTGAGTATCTGGATTTCCTCGAATCACCTAAAGCTGCGCACATTATAAACAATATTATCTAGGTGATCAATAATATACAATAGACTCACTAAGAACGCAATGACAACTACAGTTGACACTACTGTGACTGCAATAGTGATTAAGTACAACTACTATCAATGCTTTTTTATATCGAAAATTAATGAACCCATTTTATGTGGAAAACGTGAAACACTACTTATGAAAGTAACCTTATGAGCAGGATCAACCATAATAACTTCGTAGAACTTGTAAGTTGAGTCTTGACCAACCCAGTAAGAATTCAGCACGCGAAGGCTGCCACACCGACGTCCAACTCTTTCCTATATTATAATAATGCATATTAAAAATAGCTTCCATAAATATCTATAAATGTAAAATGAAAAATGTGCACCTCTGCGACAGACTGTTTGCATCGAGCGAACTTCAACTCATTAACACCATGGTTTTTGGGTTTCCCATACGTCTGTCCCTTTACAACATGACGTTTACGACCACCTCTACGTACTCTTACGCGATAGATTATGTAGCCTGAGACTCATCGATAATGTATTATTACATCTTGAAAAGTAAAAATCCATTTGTAATTCTATTAAAAAAAATTAAGAGTTAAACAATTTTAAGTCCTTCGATATGCAATTAAATGCAATTAACAACACAGAAAAAATGATATCTACCTTGCTTAGCACGATAGCCTAATCTGCGCGCTTTTTCTGGGCGTGTTGGCCTTGATACACGATGAACGGCAGAAAGTTGTCGATACTGCCAACAACGTATTCGTAATAAATACCGCATTGTCTGGAAACATAATTAAGCATAGACTTTATGATGATATAATAAAATCCTGAGATGAAATCCTAAAACTAGCAACATAGTAGTGGAAAGAGTGAATAATTCAAAAATTACGTAACAGCATAGAAAAAAATTAGTTTTTAAGCAGCTTGTGGCTTCTTCAATAATGTTTTCCACAACGAAAGCATCGAAATTTAGTGATACATACTGAACAAAGAAATTAATCCAGTTCAAGTAAATTAATTGTGCGAGTAAGATCAATTGAATAACAGCTATTCAATAATTTTACTATTATAATACTGTAACTTGAACCCATCGGTTTGAATCCATATGCATACATTTTCTCAAGATTATTACAAAATTATTAAATCTAAGATTTCCAAGTTTTTTGAAATAGATTTTTAAAACCAATGATCTCACGGTAATGTCTCCATCAAATTATGATACAATATTAATGAACTAACTTCAGATTGTTTCTTACGCCACAGCTCCTGCATATAACGGTAGGCACCCATATTTCCTGAAAAAAATCACTATCTACTGATTGATTCATAACACATATTGGCAAAACTAGTTTTCATTTTCCGAAACATCACTTTTCACAGGTTTTTCTATACTGCAAATGGAATTATGATCAATTCCAGGCACTTAAATTTACTTTGTAATTTGTATTACACAGATTACTACTGTCATGAAAAAAAATAATTAGTTTCGAATAAGCCTCATTTTCCTAGTCACAATGTTTAGCACAAAATTCTGAACACGCAGAAAGATTGGTTAAAATGTCAAGAACTATCAGTTTTAAGCCATAAGCATGTTTTTAAGACAATTTCCACCTTAATCAAATGAAAACGAAAGCTGAATAAAATGGTCGAAAGCACAATGTATACGACAGATTGAAGGATTCGAAATCTCATCACCTCTGCTATTCTATAGTTACATCAAGTAACACAACAAAAGCAAGAAACAAAAAGTTCGAGAATAAGTCGAAATGTAATTAAATGAATTACCGAAAATACATTAAGCCATTTAGATGAAAAAAAAACCATTGTTCATCAACATGAAGTGACTTATATGAGTTTTTTAGGCTCAGAGAAACTATTCATAATCATTTCATCAATAAAATGGATAATAGCAACCAAATTAAAGTGGTTTCATACAAAACTGAATCTAATGAATGCGTAACTTCCGGACTTCCAATATCAAAGATAAACCAAAAAATAGAAACATCACCAACTCATCTACACTTACGCACCGTACCCACAACAAACAAATAACTAATAAACGCAGTTTCAGTGTTGAAATACTATCATGTAAGTAACAGCGCAATTTTATGATAGGTTTGCATTCAATTAGCTAAATTTTCTATCCTTAAGTTTAAATTTGATTTGGAATGTGTTACTCAGTATATTTCACGTCTTAATTTCAAGTTTACATCAATGGTGTGAGTAATAGATGAATGAAAAGAAGATTCGCACCGATTTTTATTGCTTATTGTATTAATTTCGTCCTTTTTCTTTGCAGTTAACAATAAACATATGAAGCAAAATTTGGGGTTTAGAGGGTCAATTTGACATAATTTGAAGAAGGAAATGAACTTCAAACTTTGACTTTAAGTTGTTGCATCCATGATTAAATCTCGCAAAAATTTATTACGTTATCAATTTGTGAAACTATTTACAGTAATTTTAAAGTTATACAATAGTAGGACGATGTACTTAAAATACTTTTATCAGTTTCAATATTTATTAATTTATGTATATGTTTGCAGTACTGATGATGGGATCTAAATGGAAGGCAGTGAAAAGTTTTCTTCCTTTGCTTGAGAGCAATTAGAATGCATCTTGTTATTTTGTTGTTCAAGTTGAATATGATATGGGACAAAAAATATGCACATGAATGTTTCAGTATTATATATAGCATTTAAATATGGTTATTTCGCATTGCAACTCTGAGGAGTAGTACATTTATCAGTTACTTCATAAGTGTAACAAATTCATATTTTTAACTAAGTTGTTTATTGATTACCATAGAAATTGATATATTCGTTTTTTTTGAATAGTTTCTATTTGAATTTGAAGTCTGCAAAACTTGGAAAATTTATCATGTCAATTATCTTTCGGCATAATGAATAGCCGTAATGAGTTCAATAGCAGAAAAGTATAGTCCAGTAGTCATTACACAAATGCCAATTGCAATAATTAATTTGTCAAAGTTCTGATCCTTTCGTCCTCCATTTGATGCCTTGAGTCGGAGATGAAACATTGCTGGCCAGATGAAACTGAGCATCGTACCAGTGATATTGCCAACTAAGCCCATCAGTTCTATTAGATACGGTACAGACATAGCTGTCATGAGTATTAGTAACAGTAATACGATTCGTAAACACAAGGCCCATTCTCGTAAAGTATGGCCAGTACCGTAACAGCTGAAACATTCCAATCAAAAATTATTGCAAAGTTTTTTTTCAACGACTGACACTTGCTGATAACTTTCTGTTTGCATTTTACCTTGAAACTTCATGAGTTATAGGGAAGGTACTTCATATTTATTGCAAGTTTAATCATCAAGAAAGGAATTATTGGAAAGCTATTTCTCTACACCTAGTAATATAGTTCAAAATTAGTATT